TATAGTATATATATATATATATATATATATATATATATATATATATATATATATATATATATATATATATATATATATATATCTATATATATATATATATGTATGTATATATGTATATATATAGAAATATAGATATATATATATATATAATGTGTAGCTGAATTTATATACGTCTACCGAAATTTGAGGTACCCATGGGGTAAACCGAAATAATGAGGATAAACTCAAAAGATTGGGAGTATCTTCTGTGCAAATAGACAGCTGATGACTTCCAATACAGATATCCATCGCAGCCATTGACGACAGACGTAGAACATCAGCACAACTCTCTTCTGTTGGGGCTATATGCACATTAACAGGTCGCTCAAACAATCGCCTCTGAGTTTTCGATATCAAATAAAGGCAACCATCTCATTGCAAAATATAGAGGTCCTAGTATGTCGGCAGCACACAGCTTCAAAAGCGTACCTGACGTAAAAACGTCACACACGTATATGTCGAGAGTATGTGGACCTCTTGCGATTCAATTCGAAGGAAGGTCTATTAGATATAATGTGTATTAGAAGGGACCATTCTAACATATAGACACAGGGACAAGTAACGACATCTCATTTGATACAAATATTTCAATGTTACGGGGTTGCGGTAGTGGTGTTTCGATATGCAGTAATTTACTTATTCAGTACAGTGGTGTTTCAATATGCATTGATTTACTTTTTGAATATAGTGGTGTTTTGATATTTATCCTCACACAGGATATTGATGTTTTAAATTTACGACCCTCGTGTCCAATGCGCCTTGCCCATATCAAGCTTCTCATATAATCTACTTGCGGTTCTCAATGGTGTCATATAGCTCTGTGATCTGATCCTTGTACTTTGTGGTTGCGTTTACTCGCTTCAGTTTGAAGGTGGGTGTGAGCAGTTCCTTGTCGATACTGAAAGCCTCTGGCTCTACAATGGAGCCTTCGAGCTTCTCGAATCCTTTGAGCTTGCACTCCTTGTGCATGTCCAGCACCTCTGACGCCAGCATAGCCATCAACTCGGGTATCTCAGCGATACTCTTAGCATCGCCGGAGATGTTGTTCTCCTTCGCCCAAGCAACAATCATCTCGGCATCGGGTACCAATACGGCTACAGGGTAAGCATGGAATGAGTCTCCAGTAACAAACACCTGCGCAATATGGTCACACTTGCCATATATGGCTTCGAGGTTCTCCGCGGCCAGATATTCGCATTGAGACAGTTTGAATATGGACTTCTGTCGATCGATAATAGATAAGGTGCCATATGGATTCCAACGGCCTACATCACCAGTGCGGAACCATCCATCCTCGTCGATGCCTTCTTTTGCCTTCTCGGGATTCTTCAAGTAAGAACCAAATACATTGGTACCTCTCACACACAACTCACCACGAGGGCACTCATCAGTTGTCAGGTAGTTCATTTCCGGAATGCTCACCAGCTTGACTTCATTGGAGGCCATTGGTGATTCCACATGACCCAGTTTCATGTCGTTGTAGTGGGTTATAGTAGCACCTGCTGTCGTCTCAGTCAGACCGTAACCAACCATAATAACTGGGCACACACACACTCGAAGAAACTCATGTATAGCCGTACCGAGGGGTGCTGAGCCCGTTAGAATCCACTTTACACGTCCACCTAGTGCCATACCCATTCTATTGAACACCTTTTTATTGAGCATAGGTGTGTCTTCTCCACGTTCCAGGGCCGCGAGACGCATGTCGTAAGCGCCCTTGAAAGCAGCTTCTTTTTCGGGACCTCCGGCCTTGACACCTTGGTTGATTTTGTCGTAGATTCTTGAAAGAATACGAGGTACAGCGATGAAAAAAGTAGGTTCCAAGGTCTGGATATCCAGCATAGCTCAGGTAGTTTCCCTTGATAAAATCCTATGCTACACCCTCGGCTGACACATAGCGCCTGTATCACTCGTGCGAATATATGAGCTAAGGGTAGAAGTGAGAAGTGCACATCCTGGTTAGCTACGTGGAGGCGTTTCTGAAGTGAAACTACATCGGCCATCACGTTGCTATGGGTGATCTGCGCCCCTTTGAGGTTGCCTGTAGTACCCGATTACACGAGTACCGCGACATCCGATGCAGTGGGGGGATCGTGTGGGAACACATTGTCCACGCCCATATCCGCCAACTTGTTCAGGTTGAGGAGCTCAACACCAGCTTTTGTAAATCTGGCCTTGTCGTCAGATGTGACAACATCAAAGTAAATGGCGTAATTGAGATCCGGTAAACCCTTTCCTATTGCAGTAAGAACGGACTCGAGACGAGTTTTCTTGAAGAAGACTGCTATCATTTCACTATGCTCTATCACGTAATGTACAGAATCGGGACCGAGTGTGTCGTAGATTGCAACCGATGGCAGAGTGTATGACGAAAGTGCGTGATCACTCAGTGTCCATTCCATTCGATTCTTCGAGTATAGGCCGACAGGCTGATTTTCTTCACGCCAAGGCTCTTCAACCCGGAGCCGATTAAAGTGGCAATGTCGCTAGCCTCTTTGAAGCTTAAAAATTCGTATTCACCAGCGCCTCTGCTTCCATCTTCATTATAAACCACTTTGCGCTCACCTAAATATGGACGGTCTGGATTCTCAGCAACGATGGTTTGAAAGCTCTCGTATGTTGTGCATCGATCAGGGGTATCAGCTAACAACTCAGCGGGCCATGTAGCTTCCCCATCGACATAGTTTGGGAAACGTTGAGCAGATGATCCCCAGTCATCACCGGTCGCTACTACGCTTTGCATTTGTAGATCTGTGTTCTGAGGGTTGGGAAAGCAAGACTGTTGCTTCTCCTGAGGGGTCGTTTACATGTTAACCATATTTGCACGATTTGTCGTTGTTCAACTGTGTGTAGTATAAACCAAAAACTGATATCACACCAAACGACAGAAGCCCTTAAATACTGCGATAGTTTCATTTAGTTAACTTGCTTTTTATCAAAGGCCTTCGCCATTTCGCTATGGATGTGAAAATCTACGCAACACATTTACCAGCATCATCAGTTTGCACGTACGGCACGACTGTAGAAGTTCACAGGACCAGAGTGACATATGCCATCGGTATTCTCTGGTCGAACAAGCGATTTCTCGGGTATGAGTATATTATATATATCAAGATATCTCGATTTCCATTGGAACATCATATCATTCGTTGCTGAAATAAAAGCATTTTACTCCCGGTTCAGTGTTCACTGTTTTGTTTTGTTTTTGTTAATATTTTATTGCAACAGAGACTATAGAGGATTAGAGGATGAATGAAAGTCTACTAAATACGTTCTTATTCGAATAGGTTCAAACTAAAAACTTCAACGACAAACTATTTTTTTGGTTAAAAAACAAAATAAACAATCTTGAAACTTCAAAGGCTCGGGCAGTCGGGAGAAAAAACAATTATTTATATTTACTGGTCGGGCAGGTCCGAGAAATTGTCGATGAGACGCCATGACTCATGCATGACTCATGATGCACTCATGATGCCCAAGTGCCTGAGAGGTCAGAGCCTCAGGAGTCAGAGGTCTCCAGAGCATCTCAGAGGGCAGAGTCAAAGACGAAGAAAAACAGTCAACACTCCACACTCCACAGTCCACAGCGCCACACAGAGTGACAGAGTGACTGTCAGTGTTTCGGTTCAATACTTGACACTCCGTACATGCACGGTAGACATACATACTCATTACATAGGATATAATGTGTGCTGAAGGACAATTCACCCGAGAAGAGAGATGCAGGCTACAGACTCTCTTGAGCAGAGCACAGGCAGATTACCTAAGTTGTGCTGATACTCTCGGACTTCCTAAGAAGAACGTCACATGGGAGGGTATATATACGCCGACTGCGTCACTTCGACAAGAAGGGCCTATGTGTGGTATCAGTGCGTTATGTATGAGTATGCATGGGATACAGCCTGCTGTACAAGATGTCACGGATACAGAAGCTTTCAATGTACTAGTGAATAGTTTACCTTCTTTTCTAATCAAAGAGTGCGACAAAACTGAGCCAACCCCTGTGCTAAACCGCACAACTTTAGATACAGAGTCTCTCAAACTACTAGTATATGCCATTACAAAAGGCATCACCACTTACGGAGAATTCTTCTCGAGCACTTCCCTCGCAGATCTGGCACTTAGGTACTATAACAGGCAGGTGAGGTGTGTCAAAAATTGGACTTGCAGCGAACTCGCCTCACAACTGCACAGTGGAAGGCTTGCGTTGGTGCCGTACGATGCGGACTTTAACCACCAGCCCTGTAGCAAGAAAGGAATCAAGGCACATTGGGCTGTGTTAACAGGTATGGTATGGATATCGCATTCAGATGCTAACGAGAGCGCAAATACCTTGCAAGTCGAGGCCTGTGACGTGTGTGTGCTAGAGAATGGCCAGACAGTACAGGATGACCTACGAAACATCCGCGTGGCTACCATAGCAACGCCCATCGACACGGAATCAACAAATGCTCCGACTGAAATGAAAACGCATAATACTAGCGATATAACTAGGCTCGAAACCAGGAATGCCTACGTGCTGGCACGCCATGGAAAGAGCAGCCATTTGGCACTGTGGTCGTTAAGTTCACTCTTCGAGAGCAATGCGCAACTCACGTGCATGGATCCCACAATCAGTCCGGCGATTACACAACGCTATCCCCCGCTGGCAGAAGGTCTGTGTAGTTCTATAGTAATGTTAACTTAAAATGGATTTTAAGCTTATTGGAGTTGTGCAATTCGTGTTATATCTGGTTAAAAGAAACTAATCACCAAGTACATGTATCTGACGACAACCGGGTGTGGTTGCGACCTCCTTTGCAAGTAAAAGGGACATGCGATACGCCAATGCAGGTTACCGGTGAATAATTCTTCAGCTAGTAAGTTTAGACTTGAGTCGGGCGTGGTACTTGCAGTTGCGCTGTACGTTGGTCTCAGCCTTGCTGTGCTCGATTGTCGGAGAGTCACATTAATTAAAAATCCCACGATAACTTGCCCTCTGATAGGCATGGGTAGTATCATTTTTTGTAGTGATTAATCTACATAATTCATATGTACATACACACACACACGTATATATATATATATAGTATATATATATATATATATATATATATATATATATATATATATAGTATTATATATATATATATATATATATATATATATATATATATAGTATATATATATATATATATATATATATATATATATATATATATATATGTATGCATATATGCATATATATATATATATGTGTGTGTGTGCGTGATCCGTGTTTCTGTCATCGTATGTATGAGCCAGTGCCGTGTGTAGGTACATATTTGCGTAGAAGTCGGTGAGGTATGCCTCATTGCCACCCGTATTGCGTATCTTTAACGTCCGTGTGTCTGTTCACATGTATCCTTCTCTATATTTACATATTCACCTTCATCCAGTGTCTACCGTCACCTTTCTCTCTAGAGCTTATTGTTCTATATATATGTTATCTGTTGTCTTGATCTTTTACATTCCCCTCTAATGTATGCCATCTATTGACACCACTGTGTTGGTGCAGTGTTTGGTACAACCACACCCTTTCGTTCGGTATGTATATATTGGGGTTGGCAAAGTGTCAATATCTGTAAAGTACCTATATTATCTATTTGCATTTACAACCCTGGTATCATCAGCCTGCCATCGAAGGACGTGCACGATATGGTTCCCCGTTTGTTTGTGTATTGATATTAGTCGGCGTAGCCCTTATATGTGTTGTGGCTGGTGTGCGTGTATGTCTACCTGTTCACTGTATCCATGCGAGGGATATACCTGCTGCCCAGCCCTTTTTTTTGGGACTCCGAGGGCCTGTTCTGGCCCACGCATTCATTATTTGGTCGGGTGTCTCATTTGCACCAGAGCGTTAACTATCTGCGAACTCCTTCGATCACAAGGTCTTGGCATTGCTGTGTGTGGATATGACTACTTAAGTTGAGCAGCTGATTGGCACATTGCGTTTCAGCCGTTAATTACATGCTTTCATGAAACCATGAGACAACAAATACGCTCTATATATATCTACGTTAATAATATCAGTTAACAATATAATTGATATGAAAGTACGTACCCAAAACCATACTAATGCCATGTTGGAATACATTCGTATCATTCACAGCCAATCTGGATACTGCCATTGCGAAGCTCACGAACACCACCACCAACCGATCCTTCTCTTCAGCCGACTACGACCATGTAAGTTCTGTGACTGAGTATATGCCCCATACATGTGTGTTAGATGTATCAGCTGCTGCCTTTATGTCTTAGTACAAAAGTGTCTCAATCCTAAACCCCAAACCCTGTGTATATGTGCTAGCGTTCCCTGCTGAGGCCGTATCTGTGTGTGCTCTTATGAACTCACTTACACCGTTATTGGCTAGCAACAACAACCAGGTCTGCGAATCTATGTAGACATGTTTTGAATATTAAGACTATGTAAAAATCCTTCATGCGAGGACACTATGAATGCCACCTACGCGCAGCCATTATATATTATGTCATGCAGGCACATACACGAAACGATTCATCGATAAGCGACATGTGCGAATAATTGACAAAATACATGGATAATATTACACATTATATGTACACAAATATATATACATATATGTATATATATATATATATATATATATTATGTGCTCTACGACATCTGTTTTTACTTCATACTTGACTCTTTGGTGATAACGGTCAATATTTCACAGATAAGAGTATCTAGTATTCGGAAGGGCGACCTCACTAACTATTAACAACAACTTACGGTATTTGCGACATCTCGTTTGTGTTTTATATCGAACAGAACACCAATCAATCCGAGGCCGTACTGCTGGCGTTGAAGAAATCTAGCAATGTGGCTGTGGAAGGCATTTCACATATCCTTGTCACTCTCATCAATGCAAAGTTCGATACAGCCAATTACGCATGGTGAGATACATATACATATCATTTT